ATGGGATAAAATCCACACATGACAAAAGGGGGAAAAATCAAAATTTCAGAATAATTCAAACTCAGATATTGGTGTGTGATATCTGAGTTTTAATTATTTGACTACAAATCTCACCTCATCATTCCTCCCAGTGATTATTTCCAGGATACACTGAGATGCCCCCAAGCTGGCTTCTTAAAACTGACTAAATATTTAAAAAGAGCCAAAAGAGCCGTTCTTTTGAACGGCTCTTTGAAAGGAACGGATCGGCAAGATCCGGATCCCCTCAAAGAGCCATAAATCCCATCACTAATCACTATACCGCGATCATGTAATTTTAAAAGGCACAAACAATTGCGATCTGTTTGGTTGAAATCAGTCGCAAATCGGGGGAGGGGACTTCACGCTGGTGTCACGTGACCACGTAAACATTTATGTCTCAGATATTAAAGCAGCATAAACGAAATTTTTAACGGCACAAACTGGCACAAACACTGGTGACGTCCCAGTCTGAACAATCATTAATACTGCAGAAACTAAAACAGCACTAATGAAAATTATAATGGCACAAACAATTAAGACCAGTTTGGTTAAAAGATGAGGTGACATGCCAATTGGTTTATTGCTAATTGTTACGCCTTTGAAGAATTAAGGAAGTTAAGACAACTTTTTTGCGCCTGTCTGTTTTTTCCACCGGCAAAATAGCGAAATGGATTTGGACACACCCATAAATGTTAGTTGCGCTTTGCGTTAGATCATCAAAATAGGAGCCCCCATTTGTCATTCAAATAAACTGAAGTATGTCATGAAACTTCTGGCTAAATCAAAACCTCTGAAAAATTAACAGAGATCTGAGAAAAGCTGAGCATAAACAGATTTCTCCGGAATTACCCCCTCATAACATACATACTGCTTTAGTACAATGTCCACAAAGGAATCAAAGGAAATCTCATATTTGGATTGTTTGATCAATGAAATTCTGTTAAAATCTTATGTCAAATTCTAGCCTCAAATCATCCAGCTGAGCTTAGTGAGAAATTTCTCATTTCTTTATTAACCGGGTCTGTAACACTATAGGCCACATTCCCATGTTTTGTGAGAATGCTTGCATTTTTCAAATTCTCTTGCTGTAAGAGCAGATGAGCCGCCTGAAATGGATGAGAGGGACGAGAGTGGCAGTGTCTGCTCCACATCATCGTGAGCGTACACTGGAGGACATTTTGTTCTGCACTCACATGCTGGTTGTTGGCCACTTCGTACCAAACCGCTTTTACACGTGTGACACTCAACTCTGTCATGAAAACCTGCTGATAATTTGATATTCTGCTTGAAATCTCCCTTTTTTTCTGGCTGTGAGGAAGTAGAACTGAGGTGTTTTTCTCGAATCTGGTCCTGAAGCACAAATCAGAATCAAACATGTCAGTGAGAAAAAGAGACTCGGCTCCAGGAGAATCTGCTCGGCTTGCGGTCCAGCTCCATGACAGCTTTCAAAAAGCACAACAGATTAGATTACAGATTACAGAGCTGCAGTTCCCCTAATATGCTGTTTATGTATGAACATTCCATATAAATAACGAAATATATTAATACATGAAGAATTCCATCACTGTTTGTTACACCAATGACAGAAATATTGCTCCGAACCTCACTGAGCCAAACAGTTGGGTATACGTATCGCGATGGCGTAAAGCAGGCAGAGACTCAGCGTAATAATTGCCTGTTTGGAGAACATGGTACTTTCCCCTACAGCGGGAGCTTGAGTGACAGCAGCATCCCCACCCCCCTACAAGAGGCATCAAGACTCCCGGCTCTCTAATTAAGCTCACTTGCTGGTGTGGGTTGAATGCTGAATGCGAAGGCTGATGATGAAGCGCGGAGTCACTGCATATCATCATTAGTGTATCTCATAGGCAGAAATAACAACGTAAAGCTGCATTAAACAAGACATGCTCAATCTAAGACCCTCATACATACTTACAAAACATGGAACCCGAGCTTTAACTTTTATGTATATAAAATCATTATCAAAAGGTCAAACCAAAGGTTGTCTACAAAACTAGCCTGTTATGTTATATTACTTGTTACTCATAATCATCTTGTAAAGAATTCACATGCCAGTAAATTGAAGAGCAAATTTCAGGTTCATAAGAAAGCCTGAAAGTTAAAAGTTTTGAAAGTTTCTATTGAAAGTTTTTCTTTGGATTACATGAGTGAGTTGTGGTTCCCAAGGGTGTGTTCCTGATAACGATGACTCTTAGCATTTAAAGATATGTGTTACGGAAGGTATTTCTTTTCCCAAGTCTGTTTCTCGAACAATCTCTTGAGAGATTGCTTGAGGCTGGGAGAGCTTCTTAAGAGTGACATTAATAGGCGCGAGAACACCTGATTGGTTGACATCAATAGCTTGAGAATTGATTATTGACTGCCGCACGAGAGAAAGTGGTGTTCTTTATAAATATAACACCGCAGGAATCCTTTAAAATATTGCATTAATCAGAACAGGGGATAACCTATAAAAATAAAAAATATATACAAAATTAACAAATATGATTTTTGTCGACTGGGTGCACAAACCCACCTCCCCAGATTGTAGTAGCACCATAAGTGTTACTGTCTTAACATAAGAGAATGTTCTATGTGCTTCAGTATTGACTACTAAGGACTATTCCAGGGTACTTTGTTTGGGAAATATATTAGACATACTGTATGTAAATCAACCTCATGAACCAAAGTTTTGACATACTTTGGTACATTTAGAAAGGTGTGTGCATTCCACGGGTGTCCGAAATAGGGGGAAAGTGTCCACCCCAATATCGGTGGAACCTACCCCCTTCCCAATTAATAAATAAATACATAATCAACACCACGTTCATTATCTTTCATTATGAATCCGTGCATTGAGGCCAATTCACTGCACATTCAGAGCGCAAGGACAAAACGTAACGATATGGATAATTTATTTTTTAGTCAAGTCATGTTTGGTTATGAAACTGTACTCGTAGCAATGTTAGTCTTATTTTAAATGAGCAGGCTGAGCCAACACCAGCAATAAGTGATAGGTAAGAGAGGCTTACACCAACCTTTCAGAAGAATATCTCACGGAAGATATACTTAACTAAGAATGTTTCGGGAAACACGTCGGAGCATTAAGAGACAACTTAATGTAGCACTTACGAACGATGTAGCATTAAGAATGTTTCAGGAAATGCACCCCAGAACATATGAGGAAGCCTAACTTTAGGTCATTAGCAGGCTCAACTCAAAAACAACAAAAAAATAATACACTGAGTGACTTTTGGAAATTTTGGTTTGGTTTAAATAGATTTATCATTATTTTAAAACAGTATTTGGACTGCAACCGATAAGCTTATGAGGCTGTACATTTTTACAAGGACATATTGTAGAGCATTAAGTATAACGTTACTATGACTGAAGATGATCTCAACCCATCAAACAAGATACATATTTCATTAGTTTTGTAATAAAGGTCCCAAATTTAACAAAGAAAACAAATTAACTGAAGATTAGCTTTTTTATTTTCAAGGGTCTAAAATCCTATGAGTCTGAAAATGCTAACTAGGTTGAAGTAATTTCATACAGCCTTTCACTTACATTGTCAGCAGCATCCATGTTGGCGCCAGAGGCACAGAGGTGTCGTACAACTTCAAGGGCTCCACTGCTAGCAGCCTGGTGCAGTGGTGTCCTCCCAAGCTACAAAGGAGCAATGCAGCCAAAAGTGTTACCCAGCACACCAATAACACAGCTGATACCCTGAAAGAACCCGTGTTGAAAGTCTAGTCAAAGACTAGATAATGGTAGTATGACCTAATACAGCACCGAAGCCTTCCAAAATATAATTTTTAAGATGTAGAATTTTCATTATACTTCAGTTATACAAAAGCACATTTGCTTACAAATAAAAAAAGTATTTGCATGTCAGTCATTTAATAGAATAACTTTTGTACCAACGAAAACTAGTGTAATATTAATTACCTGTGTGCTATTATATTAATATTTAACTTAATATTCATCTATACTAAGTTAAAGAAGTACTTCCAAAAGAGGTCCTTGCAAGACTCACTTGTTTTAATGTAATGTATATCCACTTTTTCTGCTACATAAATAGCTCTGTTGTCATTTTATTTGGGGTTAGAACCAGAATGTGCCTTCTAGCCTAATGCCACTTCTCAGTGATTGACGCCCAGGTTACTGGCAGTGTGCAGGTTGGCCTGCTCACTATATTTGGAGTGTCCAGGTTGGCCTTGGCGTTGCAGAGGGCCCACACGATGTCCAGGTTGCCGTCCTCGCAGGCGACGTGAAGAGGGGTGTTACCATGGTGATCCTGGTGGTCCACGCGGCAGCGGTGGCCGATGAGCCACCTCGCCACCTCGACTTGGCTCCTGCGCACGGCCAGGTGCAGAGCAATGCGGCCGTCCTGAAAGTCAAACACGGCAAATGCAACATGCAGCTGCCGGGTACAACAGGAAGTGACGCCTTCGAAACCAAAGGGTCAAACCAACTGTCTGTCGAATTAAGTTCTACCTGCAGAGTTTTTAAACAGAATTTTTAACAAATTCCATTTTTTTTCCTGTTATGATTGGCCTTTCTGACTAACCTTTCCCTTTCCTCCCCTGAATTGTTGGAAAAACGTTTATTTTCCTCAGATAAAAAAAAAAAACGAAATCTGAGATTTTGGATAGACTGTTACAATACAAATATGTCTGTGTTTGTCACCCCAGTCCTCAGGGAGCCCCAGACACATTTTTGTTCCCTCCCAGCTCCCAACACACCATTACCAGGTACTGGGTGTTAATGATTAGCTGGGAGCTGGGATGGAAGTAAAATGTGGACTGTCTAGGGTATCTCCGAAGACTGGGTAGAGAAACACTGGTGTAAATGAATCTGCTCTCTCTGACATTTGGGTCGGGCACCCTGGCTCAATCGATCAGACTTTCATCCCCATGACCTTTTTCAGATGTCTAGTGTACTGCTGTGAGATCAGTACCATCCTGGGTTCACAGGGGAAGGCTAACCTTGTCCATGGAGTCCAGGTCGGCTCCATGCTCCACCAGACACTCCACAATGTCCCGGAAGCCCCTGGATGACGCTGTTAAGAGTGGGCTCTCGCCCTCACTGTTCCTTACATTGACTTGGCAGCCCGCCTTGCACAGTGCCTTTGCCACAGGGTAGTATCCATGCCAGGCTGCACAATGCAGCGGTGTCTCATTTTCCTAGAGAGGGGGAGTTACATCATGTACACGTGCAACCTGCCTTTCAGCACACTGGTGTTTGCAGAATTGGGGAAGGAAGCCCTCAGGCAGTTTAACCTGAATAGGCTGAATCACTTCAATAAATCATTGACATCTGCATAGTCATAAATCGCGTGGCTAAATGTGCCTGGTGATCAACAAAATATAATCTGTGGCAGAGGCAAATAAATAAAAATGACGGGCCAAGTTGACTCTGAATTTGATTTCATCTGTATCTCTCCAGATTTAATGAAGATATTAGCGACAGTAGTGATGCATGATTATATAACGGAGAGCTGGCACTTACCTTATCTACAAGGTTGGGGTTGGCGTGAATACTGCAGAGGTACTGGACCACGTCCATGTTGCCATACCTTGCTGCCACGTGCAGTGAGGTTTCTCCAGACTAGGTCAGAAAAAATATTTAAAAATTTCATACACACACACACATACACACACACACACACACACATAAATTATGACATATATTTCAATTGTTTTGACATATATAATTTGATTACAACCTAAAAATCCATTGTGATATCTAATTATATAAAATAAGGCATCTCTAAGAATGGTTTTTAGCAGAACTGTACCATTTCAAATATGAAAATAAATACATATTCCTCTTAAATTAACCCTGAAGGAGCAAAATAACAGGATTTAAAAAAAATAATAATTCTAACATATTAGCATGACATATGTTCATTAAAGTTCATTGAGTGCAGAGAATGAGTCACACGAATTACGGAATTTCAGCAGGGCCTCACCGTAGCCATAGTAACAGCCAATAATAATCTGATGCATAGAGGCATTACATAAACTGTTTCAGGTTGTTAAAAACGGGAGAATCATGACATTTAAAGTGTTAGGTAACCTTTAATGAAAAAACTCAGGAGATGTGCTGACAGTACAAATGTAGGTAAAAGTGTGTGTGTGTGTGTTTGTGTGTGTGTGGGCGAGGATGAAGCTACCATGTCCTGAGTATCAAGCGGGCACTTCCTTTCATGGAGAAATTTCAGGGTCTCCACATGTCCGTGTCTCGCCGCGTAATAAACCGCATTTGCACCTGCCTGCAAAAGAAAAGGAACCTGAGTCAGTCCCACAAACTTAGTGTGCCACCTCGCAGTCCAGGATCTAACCCGGCCAGTCAATGCTAAGCACGTGGCCAATCGCAGACCTTGTCGTGGGCCTGGATATCAGCCCCTTTCTTCACCAGCACTTCGATGATGGGGATGCTTCCGCAACCTGCAGCTATGAGGAGAGGTGGAGTTCCGTGCTGTAAACACAGGGAAGATGGATGCATCACACAGCTGCTGTCAAGCCACACATCTTCCCACACGCGATACACTTAAAGAGGCGATTCAAGTAGACACCTTTAATACAGTAGTTTCAAAACTCCTAATGCTCCTTAATTTATAAGAACCTCCATATCAATGTTACAGATTTGAGTCATATTACTACCTGCATCACCAAAAAATGAACAAATGTGATTTTCAATATATTATTATCATCTCCTGATTTTTCTCCATGTACCATTTGTTCAGAGCATTTGTTCGGACCAAATTTCCATAATGGGCAACAATTTCACCCATTATTTATTGACTAGAAGGACTGGTGCATGTTCAACGTTCCCTAATGCAAATACAAAGCCTGACACCTCTAAGCAGTGTAATCAACACCATGGCATCTTCCCATCAGAGCACAAACCGCGACTCTGTCAGCACCTCCCTCCCACTTACTGATACCACATTTCAAGACATTTCAATTCCTCTTCTCATAAAATTTATGCAGATAAAGATGGACCAGGTTTCACATAGATGATATAACTGCTAAGGGACATAAAATGCGATTCATGCCATATATTGTCCTTTTCATGTTGTTTTCCTTGAGGTGAAAACTGGAGATATATATATATATATATATATATATATATATATATATATATATATATATATATATATATTACTGATCTTCATGTTGGTATAAAATCATGACATAAGTGTGTTAGTTTAGTAATTTTAAAATGATTCCTGTCTTAAAACCAACTCACTACTTGCAGTAACCGTGCAATATACCCATGTGTTTGTTGACTTGACCACTAGTGCACCATGTTTGGCTAATCAATACCTCATTAAATGATTTGATTGATTAATAAAGAGATTAATTAAATGAGCTGGTGGAGAAATTTAACGACCACATGAAATGGCTGAGATGCCCCTGAGCAGAGGTTTGGGACCTTAAGCATTGTTCTTCTGCTCCATCACCACACTCCATCTCGCTCCCTACGCTCATCCAGCTCGAACCTCCTGTCCCTGCCCTGTAGGACCAAACTCCAAAACTGGGGGGACAGAGCCTTCTCCATCGCTGCCCCCACCCTTTGGAACTCACTGCCCAAATCCCTCCGCGACTGCTCTGATCTCCCTACTTTTAAGAAAGAACTCAAAACTCACCTGTTTAAAATTGCTTTTAATGTTTGATTTTATGTTATAAATTGTGTGCCATTTTATTCTATTGTGTTGTGAAGCGTCTTTGAGTGTCTTGAAAAGCGCTTTATAAATAAAATGTATTATTATTATTATTATTATTATTATTCTAGCCATCCAGCAAGATTTCAGTGAGTTTTTGGAGAACATAAAAAAAATATTATTCTATTATTCTATCATTTTGCATATATTACAATGTTAAATTATGTTAAAAAGTAGTAAATATACATTTAGTACTCTGATAAACAGCTTTAAACATTGTTGATGACTTTTGAATAGTACTATACGCATATGTTATATTTTTACACAACAAGAGATATTACTGAAGCAATTCTGTTTAATTCCAGCTATGAAAGTC